GGTCGAAATATACCACCACTAAAATACAATATGATCGAAAAAACGGCGTCAGCGATGGCTATGAATTGAAGATCTTGGTCATTTTAAATGTAAAATTGCATGGGAAAAGTCAATATCGTCATTTCCAAGTCATCTATCTCTGACGCCGTTTTTTTCGATCATATGTATTTTTGCACACTTACAAGGGCGGAAAAATAGTAATAATTGGTTGCACTTTTAGGTAGAAAAAATAATACCATACAATCGAAAAGAGTCAGGGTTATTTAAAACGAGATCACTGCCATAAGGTGAATGTCACTGATTCTCATTTCAAAACCAACTCGACGTGATTTTTTTGAAAATACCTTATTTTTATAAAAATAAAGCGATTTAACCAAAAGCGTTTAACAGACACAAAGACTTAAAAATATTAATTTTAGAGCTTTAAAAAAATATCGTATAATCGGAAAAAACGGCGTCGGAATTGGCTTGGAAATGAACATCGCTGTCATTTTATATTTAAAAATTTCAGTTTTTTTTAAATTATTATGTCATCAATCGTCATTACAAAGCCATCTGACGCTTTTTTTTAATCATACGATTTTTTCAAGCGTGACATAAACAAAAAAAATTATTACTACCATAATAATTTTTATTCATGTTTTTATGTGAATTTCATCGCTCACTCTGACGCTTTTTTTTTTGATAGGGGACATTAAAATTAAATTGAAAATGATGAGAATTATCATTTTACTCGATTTAAAAATACTACAGATTTTTATTCTGAAACATTCTGTATACTGTATAAAATTGACAAATTGTCGTTAAGTCTGTTCAAATTATGTGTTTTTCTCCTCCAAGCAAAACACGACATGTAAAAATAGTATATTTTTTTATGCTACTATACTAGTGAATTTAATTTATTGGTATAATGTTACATTTAGGATAGACTAGCTTAATTAATTATTTGAATTATCATTTGGCTACAATCGAATGGAATCCATGAATAAGTTGTAATGCTTATATTCCCGCTTTATATGTCAAATCTAAGTTACATAGCATCAAGTAAGTGTCATTAAACTATATAGGTTGCTTGATAACTACTGTCGTTTTAATTCAGCTGTATTTTCTGTCATTTTTGGATGTTTTCTGTCAAAATCATCACTTACTTGTTGGACATACTATACCTAGTTATTACCAAACCTTTCTATTTTAATGACACTGAAAAAGAAATAAATATTTTGTTATAAAATATGTTGATCAATTAAATAAACTTTGTGTGTGCATACTCATATGCACTTATTTGAAGTGGAACTTTACTAACAGCTACTAAATTGGAGTATATGAAGGACAATGTTTGAAAAAGTGACATACAATGCTGTTTTAGTATAAATATTATTTTCAATTTATTTCTGTAATCTGTACATTTTCTGTTTCCTCACTAGTTGGGTAAATTTGTGAATACTCACTATAAAAATACACACTTTTATGCAAATACCTAATAATGTTAACGCTTTAATTTATTTAAGAAGAGAAAAAAAGTTGAACCTAACCAACAATTTGTATTTATAGTCGTTATACTGGTGGCCTTACCACTTTTTTCGCTAGTTCATGCTTCAAGGCATGGTCAAGGTCAAGGCCGTGGTGTGTGACGGCTTTGAATTTTTACTCCCATCGCGCGTAAAGAAGTTTCACTTCACAATGTATCACAAAGTCAAAATTAGGGATATTAAGTATGTATTTGGATTCTAACCATCTCAAATTTGTTATTTTAATCTTATGAAATAGTATAGATGTAGGCCACTATTTTTGTCTTTGGATTTTGGTATCATGTGTAGATTTTAGCAATAAGAAAATGGTTATTAAAGGCTTTTTTATTACAACATATAGTTAAAGTCATTTAAGAATCCCTGGTTTTGACATCTTCTGTTTTATCACTAAAAATAAAGTGAGAAAGAAAATGTTAATAAAAATAAAGATATCTTTTATGGGAATTCTTAAAAGACGCCGACTATACTTATTTGTACAGCAGGACAAACAGATTTGATATAAATAAATTACCGTTAGATGTTTTTTCTTAGATTATTTGAACATATGGTGTTATGCTTTTAGTTGTATGGAGTGTATCTACGTATGTAATATATTTATTAAAATGGACAACTAGAACGATAAGTATTTAAAATTGGTTTTGTTTATTTTGATCCCCATTAATATTAATTTACATCTTTAAAACATAGACTAAGTAATTGATTCTAATTTTGTTAAATGTAGGTATAACTGAGTAGTTTTTTTATTTTAGGCTATTGGCTTCTAGCCTGGTATAAACAATGCTTCTAGTCACTTTATAAAGACTTAAAGAGATTTACTAGCAGTGGCGTGCATAAGTAATGTATGCAAAAAGTCTTTGCCTACCCCAGGTAATATCATAAAATCTTTTTTATATCATTACATTTTAACTTATTATTAATCCAACAAATAAAAAGGGTAAAGGATCTTCCACGTACTCTACAGACCGCAATGACTGGAAGGCCAATGTGTAAGAACGAGATTGAAAAAGTAAGTAACGCCTGGTTTTTGCCAGCGTCGCGCATACTGCTGCCTTGTGCAGTGATGCCAAATATGAAAAAAAATTTTCCCCAATTTATATAAAAATAATTATTTGGGCTACTTAATTAAATACTTACGCTAACCTTTATTTTTTATTATTTTGATAATTGTCGTAGCCTTCTTTGGGTGACGTCACGCTAAAGACGTGCGTTAGGTCTTCTTTTCTCGATGGTAATGGTCTCGTCAAAGTTTTATTTTATTCCGACTGGTCAGGTGCTTTAGGAATTTTCTGCACTTGTTTTGATTTAGTTTTGGTGTTAACAAGTAAGTTGAGAACAAATTAAGACATTGATTTTTTACATTATCTTAAGCTGAAGGGAATTACTGAAATTAAAGGAGACAGATTTATATTAAAAAAAAAAAATAAAAGGCTCAAACATGCTTTTTTAAATTAATTGCTTTTCAATATAGAAGTAACAGAAATGAAATAAATCTGTGGAGTTGCATTCACAGTATTTACACATTTGTTATAAAGCAGTGGTGATCGAACAAAAAACAGCGTCATATTACCTTATAGATGTTAGTTTTTGGTATTCGTCGTATAAAATGTTGATGGCCATTTCTTGGATAATTTTTTATTCTATCAATATTTTTGCAAATAGCGTATGCTATAAAAAAATGGCGTCAGCGATGGTTGTGAAATGAAGATCGCTGTCATTTTATATAAAATTTATATGGGAAATATCATCGATCGTCGCATTCTGCGCCAATTGACCCTGGTTTTTTCTGATCATACGGTAGCTAATCAATAAAAATAGTAGTCGCAGTCAAGTAATTTATATACTGTAAAAATATTTATGATAAAATCTGCAGCAATAAATTACACTATCGCGTAAGCTTATAAAAACACACGGGTACTGGCACAGCCTTTCATTAGACAGCCAGTCGACTTCGCTTGTTTGAGAGAAGAGGGAATCTATCAATCTATATAAACTAAGTGTTATGCAGGGTGAGTCTCAAAGAAGTGCAATATTTTCAGGGCTGGTAGATCTTATTTTAACTAAAATTTAATAAATTTCCAAAACTTCAAAAAATTCCAAATTTTTGTTTTGCAAAAACTCATATACGTGTTTTGGGGTCCAAATATACTACATCTAAAAATATTTGCATTTATTTAAGACTCATCCTGTATAGTAGACTTCTTTTAATATCAGCGAGGGAAAAAAGTAAAACACTGTACGCGGACTGGAGCTGTTTGGACACCCTGTAAAATACAAGTAATATCAAAACTTTTTAACCATTAAATTACATATTTTAATACATAATAAAAAAATAATTTTTATAGCGTGAAAGCTTTTTGGAAGTTGATGTTTTTTTTTGTTCACTCCGGTCATAAGACAAAAATAACATATGATTGAAAAAACGGCGTCAGGGATGGCTATGAAAATGAAGATCGCTGTAATTTTATATGTAAAATTATATGGGGAATGTCAACAATCGCTATTTTTAAGTCAACTGGACGCCGTTTTTTTTCTCTATCATACGGTACCTTTTGAAGGGAACCCGTATATTATTTTTTACTTAATTTTATTGAAAAACTACTTTGATTTTTTGTAATAAAGAAATCTTGTCAAAATTAAACACTAGTTCAGAGTACAATATACCAAAACACTACTTTTGTACTGGCCGCGCGTTTCGCTAACCATCAAAAGTTAAGTGTTTTGGTGTATTGTGGTGAATTAGTGTTTTATTTTGTTGTTGTAAGACCAAAGGTTCCAACCCCAACTGTAATTTTTTGTCGTTATTTATTTATATCCAATTTTTTTTTCCAAAAATTTTACTAAAAATTTTTTTTTTATTAAACTAAAAAAATCAACTAAAAATTGCATATATGTATCTTTTTTGATATATAAAATAATATCAGTCCTAATCTTCTAAACACACAAATTATACTTATTACAATTATTCAAACTATATCACGAAGAAACTCCGATTAAAACGAGATATTTTGAAATTTAAACAATTACCAATATTATCGCACCAAAAAATAACAATAAATTTTCCCTATCTTTAATCGTTCAAACATTATGACGTAACACCGTATGCATTTGCAGATGCCAGATAAAAAACATCGGTCATGCACAATATTTTTTCAGTTACTTTTTTTTTTAATTCAGTCTCCAAGAAAGAAACGTTAAAATATTTTAAGGGTATGCAACCAGATATACACAACGCGATTTTTGAATTTATTTTTAGTAGAATTTTAGCACGTTTGAGTATTTTCTTAGCAAAAGTGTGTTGTATTGTAAAAGAGAAATGTTCTTTGATAGAATTAGGATGAAAAAACGGTTAGTTTGTGGAAAAACAAGTGAAAAAATCGAGGTTTCGGCCGGCGTCTTGCCGATGGCATCGCGAAAAACTTCAGGTAGGCCGCGCGCGCCGGTTCCATCTGATCCAAATAGCGCTGATGCGTTTTCGGACCTTTTCTGCTGCTTTCTGCTTTTAGTAGCGCATTTCGGGTGGCGTGTAGAGGGTGATTTCGAGGCCCGTTCTTCTCTCAAAACATATCGCTCGCGCGAGATAAACGAAACAAGAAACACTGACTGATCTTCCAGAAGCCATGACGACTCGCGTCGGCTTTGCGGTTCTAGTGTTGGTGTTGTGCTCTAGTAGTGTTGCCAGGGCGAAAAACGTGGATAGCAGGATCAGGAGGCGGGATCTGGGCCCCGAATCCTGCGATCTGAGCTTCGTCGAGTCGAGGAATTTGAGCTTTACCGCAGGACGCATTCAGAAAGGTGAGTTTTTTTGTGGCTCTTGATTTTCGGCAGTGTTTTTTTTTTGTTTATTGTTGAATATAAATAAAACATGTCTTGATCTGTTTGAGAGTTTTTTATAAATATAATTATTATTGTTTATTATTAGTTCTTTTAACTAAACGCATTGTAATTTTCGATTCAAATTTTAAATATTTAAATTTAAAGTCCTTTTAGGAATAAACACAACTTTGTTTTTATTTGTCTGCAATGCTCTTTTAATATTTTACAATTATTACATAATTTGATTTTGTAGTAACCTACACATAGTTGAATATTTTTGTCGAATATTTAACTCGCGTTTTTGTTTATATTTGTGTTATTTAATATATAATACATGAATTGGTGTAGTAAGTAAAATTTTTTGGTATATTGTGGTGAAATAGTGTTTTATTTCGCTATTGTAACACCAAAGTGAAATCAAAAATATTATAGCATTTTTTGAATGAAAAAAATAGTTGATAATAATTAATTTGTAACACTCTGTATATTGATTATATATGATTATATAATTCGTATTAACTGTTGCGGTTAGATTGTTTTTTAATGTTTTAAGTGATTTTTTTATTAGAAATTGTGCAGTTTCTGGCAAAATCGAGGGCAAAATAATACCGAGCAAAATAATATATAACTATAATGTAAATAAAAAATTTGAAATTCGATTTTTTTGTTTTCAAAAAAATCTATTTGAAACCTGTTCTAGACGTTAGAGGGTAAACATTACAAATAAAAGTGTAGGATATACCGTATGATCGAAAAAAAAACGGTGTCAATCGATGATAATTTTGGCGCGTTCAATCTCTAGTAATTTACTAAAAAGTTGACATAAAACTTGTCAAAATTTAAAACTAATTATCGAAAGATTAAAAAAGGATAGAACGTTTTCAGACACATAAATCTATTTCCAAAAACTATTTTTTCTCGAATTTTAAACTACGAGTACACCATTTAAAAATATTTTTTACTCAATATAAAAATTTAAGTTACAATCTTCTTAAAACCAACTGGCAGCAACTGCCATTAAAAAATAAAGAAGAGAATAGGCCAAGTAAATGACATCTAGGGCTTGACCTCGCTAAAATTTTCACTGATTGTCATTCCCCTGCCGTCTTCGACGCCGTTTTTTTTTCGATCGTATGGTAATATACCTGTATGTTTAGTTTGTTAAGAAAATATAAGAAATACTGGCTTGCGAAGATGTTATACAAGTATGTTAATGAAAAACTATTAAAATTTTTATTAGAAATTGAACAGTAACTAGGAAAATAATTAATTTAGTTGATCTTATTTTTATAACGAAAAACTTCTGTTGATTTATTACTTTATTTATGTTTTAGCCTTGATATGTTTTGCTTTTAATAGCTTTATAATTACATTATTAATTTTTTTCAATATCGTTCATTTCCGAGTTCCCTTAATTTACATTTTTAAAATTATCTTATAATAAATATAATATTTAAATTATTTGTGAGATGTTAAAATAATATGTATTTCTTTCTAATTCCCGGTTGATTAAAAGAGATACCATATTATCAGAAAAAAAGGCGTCACAGTAGCCTTTATGAAATGACAATAGCTGTTATTTTCTTGTACATCGACCTCTAGTTGGTCTTTATTGAAATTTGTCATAAAAATGCGCCAAAAATTAATAAGTAAAAAAGTAAAAAGGTACGATCGAAATAAAAACGGTGTCAAAGACGGCTGGGTAATGACAATCGATGATAATTTTAGCGAGGTCATTTACCTGGCCCGTATTCTTCTTTACTTATTAATGGTTAAAAATTATTTTCAAATGGTGTATTTATACATATTTATTTTTTTTTGTCAATTTTTAGTAATTATATATGTCAAATTTTAACATTATCGCTTAAAAAATAATCATATTTTAAATTTCAATCTAGAGCGCCATCATGGTTGTGTTAAAAACACTAATTTTTAATCAATGAGCCTTGGAAAAAATAGATTTGATCATCTAATGTTTTTAGTGTCTTGTCCTGGCCGGCTAAAACATGCCCAAATCGTATTTTTAATCAAATCTCAATGTTTTCAAATGGAACGAGGGTGGCTCATTAGCATATTTAGAAAAAGCATTTTTTTACAAATAATTTGGTACCACACACTTGCTATTTCGAGTCAAATTGTCGGTATGAATTGCATGTTACAATTTCAAATAAAAAAATAGTGTCATCATTTTCTATCGAATAAAGTAAAAAATATAGAGGGTGTCATTTAAAAATCAATTGTTTTAGTTATTTCCACGATAAAAACATATTTTAATGTAATAAATCTTGTATTTTTGTCTGAAAAAAAGTTATAGGGGTGACCACTTTTAGACCACCCGGTATTTTGAGTGCCTGTTTTTATATGGCGCCATTTTCAAAATATTAACTTGTAAAATAGATTAAACTATAATATAGGTACAATGTCATAGAGACCTATATTATACTTATTTGTTCAGCCGATTTATGTTTAAGAGGATTAAAATAAATCATATAACAAGTATAGGTAATACAGAAATAAATATTTGTAATTATACAGAATACAGTAATCGCTTGTAAGTACTTAAAGGATTTTCTGTTTGTTGAATTTTCGAAATAAATGAGGATTTTATATTTCGTTTTGTACAAATTTTACATTACACGTGTTTTCCCCAAGGATTAAATAAATAACCTTACGAACATTGTGATTTTTTTCATAGTCTATAAAGTTTGAGTTTCCTTTGAAGCCAAGTTTATAGGCCATTGCTTTGGCATTTAATAGCGGACATATTGGCATTCTTCTTTGTTAAAAATAGCGTTATATTTATTTCACTTTTTTTTGTATGTATTTAGTGATTTTTTTTGTATGTATTTAGTGATTTTTTTTGTATCGCAATTTATTTAACACTAGTTGAAGCCTGGCGCATCCGCCACGACATAAGGAAAAAAAATACTTTTTTTTAATTGAATGAAAAACAAAAAATCCGGCGACGACCGTTTTTAGAAGAGCCAATTAGCTATCTTTTAGTAAAAAAAACAACTTTCTAGAGCAAGTCGTTACTTCAGTAAAGACGACACAGATAAACATTAGCTTTTTATATATGTAGATTTTTGTAAAATTATATCTTCATTAAGTAATGAAAGTCATCTCATTTTATTTAAAAAAATAAAAAATTATAATTAAATAGGATATCACATTAAAACAAAAAAAAACTTGTATCACAAATTTTTTTGGTACATACTGTATAAATTGTTTGTTGAATTATTAAGTAATTCATTTTAAATAAAATATTATACCATATGATCGAAAAAAAAACGGCGTCAAAGACGGCTGGGAAATGACAATCTATGATAATTTTGACGTCATTTACTGAGCCCGTATTCTTCTTTATTTTTTAATGGCCACTTCCAGCTGGCTTTAAAGAAGGTTTTTTTTGATTTTCATATTGAATAAAAATTAGTTTTTAATGGTTTAGTTGAAAATTCAAGAAATTTTTTTTTGGAAATAGATTTGTGTGTCTGGAAATGTCAATTTTTAGTAAATGATATCTAGAGATTGATCTCGTCAAAATTATCATCGATTGTCATTCTCTAACCGTCTTTTGACACCGTTTTTTTTTCGATCATTATCTATCTTCTATACAGAAATCTTATGACATTTAAAAAAATATAAATCTATGTAGTTTTAGACAAAGAGTACTTAGAGCTTTTGTTTAAAAAATATTCTTAGTATCTATAGAATTACATTATCAGGAACATTGAATTTTTATTATTAAATAAAGTAGATATTTTTGCTATAATAACCTTCTTATAAGATTAATATTGTTTTAAACCAAACAATAATTTAGATTATTTTTTTAATGGATCTATTCAAAATCTGAGGAATTAGACATTATTTTTTTAAACAATACACGAGACAATACGCACGTGGTTCAATTTGATATTGTAAAATGTTTAGTCACATGTATGATGAAAATAAAATAATTTCTTTGAAATAATGAAATATACAGGGTGTCCATCCCAGAAACACGCCCATGAGGTTTTTTAGCCAATTTTTTTTGGAAAATTTGAGATTTTTGGAAAAAAAATTAGGAACAATTTTTAACACAACTATATGGCCACATAAGTACTAGATTAAATTTACAAGAAAGGAAACTCAAAAAAGATCCAGTGGTTCTCAAAATTTAAGCGAAAAATATATTTTTTTAAATTTTGGAAGTAAAGTAACTCGGTTATTTTGGATTTAAAAACGGTAAATAGCAAATATGTTGACGCCTTAAAAATATTTGCACCTATTTAAGACTCACCCTGTATAGTGAGTGACTATATAATTCAGAAAATGACCCTAGATGTTATGTCACGAGTAACGAGAATGATAGATTGGGAGAAACACTACGATATGGTTAGTAAAGAACAGGTGATTGAGAATGACGGGTTGCTCTTATGTAATCCTGAGTACTACGACGGAACAATGGAGTTATAAAGGAAATCCAGTTTTTATTTGGAAAATACGCACTATATTCTGATATCAGAAGTGGGATATACCTACTAAAAAGTACCACAAAAGTTCTGAAAAGTGCCAATGTTGTGTGTAAATCCATTAGTGCTGGAAAATGTGAAAAAAACAAATCAACAAGCTCAGCAGTGTTAGTGAATAAAAAGGATTATATAGTCCCTACAGGAAAATTTGGAAATTGGATATTAAGTAAAACTTTGGAAAAATATCACACCTATTTCAAAAATGGTAAAACCCAAGGCTGTAACGATGTGCCAGATGCAAACTACAAGTCATATTTCCTAAAATAGGTCTTTTGGGTGGCCATGTTGGCATAAAAACTGAAACAGTGAAAAAGTAAAACTTCGCAGGATACATTTGAATAAGATAAGTACAGAAATATCAATTAAGTTTCGAATATGAAAGTTTTGGTTGCTTGCTTGTGTTTTTTGAAATTAATATTCCAATACATATACTCAAGCAAATAAAAATAAAAACGTTCAACACAA